TTCACCATTTTTTCTTTTTCTTTTTTTCCCTATCGTACTCCCAGATTATGATACATCATTATTGTTACGACTCTTCTCTTACTTTATAGAGTATCTGTCTCTTATACACATCTAGATGTGTATAAGAGACAGTGGTGATCTTCTCCGTATCGTTGCAGTTTTAGCATTTGTCCAGAAGGGGACGGTTTGTGTCTCTGTTCTAATGGCCGGGGTTTTCATCTTTCGTGCTCTTTTCAAAGTATAGTCGAGCGGCCTTTTATCGGCAAAAGGAAGGCCAACCCCATGTGGAACTACGTGGGGCAGTCTCCTTCCTCTAGCCCCGGTCTTTCCGCCCCCCTCACGCTCCCTGGCCCCTGCCCCTCTGTAGAGCCGTGTTTTTTTTGTCCGAGTCAGCAGCCTACCCTCCAGAAAGGAACCTGATGTGGTTGTGGGTCTGCCCCCTTTCCCCCGTTTTCTGCTCAGGATCCATCCATTGGTGAGAGGCTGCACCTATACCTGGAACGGAGGCCCATGCAAGCGATCAATGTGTGGTGTGGGTAAAAAGACCCCCAATCTCAGAAGTCATCGTCACTCCACACAAAAGTACCCATTTTCGGCACAAAAAAAAAAAGAAAAAATGCTGTCCTTTTTGCTCACGAATCCCAGTTTTTTCGATAGGGTTATCCATTTTTTTTGTCAAACGCTCTGTCAATTCCGTTCGCAAAACTTGCTTAGCAAAATATATTTTGTATTTATATGACGAGTCGGTGAAACTCCGACGAAACAGTTTGTCACAGCCCCTCGTTTGTTGTCCTCTTCTCTCTCTCTGCCTACGGTCTTACCGGGCAGTTCTGTTTGTGACGACGAAACAGTTTGTCACAGCCCCTCGTTTGTTGTCCTCTTCTCTCTCTCTGCCTACGGTTTACCGGGCAGTTCTGTTTGTGACGATATATATATATATATATATAAAATTAAAATTTTCATTTTAAATTTGGTGAAGAATTTCGATGTGGCACGCAAGTGGCATTCAGGAGGTCGTGGGTTCAATCCCCATTGGCCTCATGTACCTTCCTGGGCATGCTTGGCGCCCACCACCTAGAGATAGACCGCTGGATCCCCCAATCGGCATTGAGCAGAGTCTGCTGATGTTCGTAGGGGTGGGGACCTGAGGGGAGGAAAAGGGATTTGTCCTGTTGGCATGGTCCCTGATGCTACTGGCTGTCCCCTAGTTGGTATAGCCCACCTGTAGGTCGGGAGCAGCTCCCGCATGTCCTCTTGTGAACACAGTTCTGGCTGCTACGGGGTTCCCCGAATGCCTACAATTAGGAGTAGTGGTAGGTAGGTAGTGTGAGGTGAAATTGAGAGAACATAGCTTTAAAAAAAAAAAAAAAAAAAAAAGTTTTTTTTTGTTTTTGTTTTTTTTTTCCGGATTTTTAGGATTTTTTTTTGTTTTTGGCTGGGACCTTGCCGGGGCCTTGCACGGCCGGGCAGCCCGGGAAAATAGAGGGTGACCCGAGCGGCCCGGCTGGTAGCCTAGAACTCGAGGCCATACTGGCGAGAATGGTAATGGCAACCAGAATGCGGACGAAGCTGCAATCTGAGGACACGTCAAAACCCATATCAAAATGGCTCCCAAGAATATTTAAAGTGCTCTCTCTTGTCTTGAAGCATCATAATAAATAAAAGTTTCAATTGAAAGCAAATGGCCCTGCACACAGCGTGCCATACGGGTCACAACCGACTGGCATACAC